GCGGCGGTGGGTCTGGGGTCGCCGTCTGGAGGAGAAGGCAGGCGTGCGTCGGCAGATGAGCTTGCCTGGCCTGGGGCGGGGCGGTGGCGGTGTGGTTCGAAGCCGGCCGTGAAGCCCTTGGCTGCCAGAGGGGTTTCCCCTGCGTCTCCGGGAGTAGGTCCGCTGCTGTTGGCCTTGAACAGACCGGACTGGCGGCGGCTGCTGGTAGAGGGGGATTCAGGTGATCGCCTAATGGCTGGATCGTTAAATCTAGCGAGCGTTGCATGGGGATCGTGTAGGCGGTAGGGTGAGTCTCTGCTCGGTCGCTACTGCGTGAGCAGGGGTTAAGTAAGCCAGCAAGCGTCTTGTCTGCCTGGCCTACCTGGACAGGGGCTGTGTTTGTAGCTGCGTTAGGAGGGTACGTAGGGTGACGGGCGATTCTCTGCCCAGGTGCTTCTTTCTCTCAGAATACGTAAAAAATCTCCTGCCCTGAAAGTTCAGACTCACGTTTTCCAGCAGCAGTGGATGTTTACTCAGTCGTATGTTTTATCATAGAGATGTCTTCTGAGCTGGCTGTTTGAAAGGATGCTTTCTCTTCCACCTCGGGCAACGGGTTACATGTATGAAATAAACGACTGTCTTTTTGTTTTCTCTACTCAGGTGTAAAACTTCTGTTGCATGGTCTTTGCTCCAACACCACAGTCAAGTCTTTGGATTTGAAGGTGAGTCTGAATAAAATTAAGATAAAGAGGTGGGGAAGGAAATAGGAGCACAAGCTTAATCAGAGTCAGAAATAGACTGGTGCAGGATTGTTCTACAAGACGTGTACTGTTGTAAAGTTTGTGTTCTCAAGTGACTCAGTCCTTGCCTTCTTAACACCATGTCATGACTTTCCAAAGTTACTTTGTAGCTCATCTTTGTCCATTTTTATTCAGTTACTCTGTTTTGATAGGAAGTAATTGTTGTATATCTTTTGTCAGTTGCTGCTTGGTCAGATGAGGCATATGTAGGCTTTACTTTGCGTTTCTGTATTACTCAGGTGAGTTACTAGTTGTTTGACTTGCACTTCTGTAGAGTTTATCCAGCCTGCCAGTGTCTTTCAGCTATCCTGGGGCTTGGAACTAAGCACCCACTTTCAGATGCGATGATCACTCTGCTGTGAGGTGACTTTCTGTCTGTATTCCTCTGGCACATAGCTATTCCTTTGAATCTACAGACCTAAACTGCATCACACCTTTCTTTCTCATCTGTGCTGGTGCTAGCCAAGCCCTTTTTAATGAAAAGTGTGTTGAAATGGTTCTGCTTATCTAGAGTCGGCATTTTCCATCCCATCGTGGGCCATGCTGATCCTGTGCTATCCTGTGATTTTTGTGAGCTCAGTCCATTACTGACAGACCACGTTACTCAGACCATTTCTGACAGACTGAAATTGGCATTGCAACTGGGATGCACCTGGTGATGTTTGATGGGATAGCTGGATTGGGACAGGGCGTAGCCTGCTGATCACCTGGGACTTTTGTTTCAGGGAAATAACCTGCGAACCGTGGGAGCTGAGGCTTTGGGAAAACTTCTTAGGCAGAACAAATCCATCAGGAGGTAAAGAATTGTATCTACCTCTCTTTCTGTTATTCCTGCCAGATGGAGCACAACATTAGAAAAGGGTTGAGGGGTAGGTGGAATGTCAAGTGGTGCAGTTTCTTGTGAGGGATGGGACAGATGAAGGAGTGAGAACTGGAGGTGCTCTTTTAGAGGACGCAGAGTCCTTGCAGCATCCTGCTCTCTGAAACTGAGTCTATTAGCGAAGCTGGGTGTTCGGATGGGTACCGTGATCCAAGTATCATTCAAGCTCTTGCAACTGTCCATTTACTCCATGAAACCCAATCCTGTCTGATTTTTCCCTAGACTAATCTTGGAATGGAACAGCCTTGGCCTGTGGGAGGAGGGCTTCTCCTTTTTTTGCCAAGGACTGGGAGCAAACAACTTTCTCCAGCGGCTAGATCTGCGCAACAACCAGATCAACCATCAAGGGGCTGGAGAGCTGGCCGTGGCACTGAAACAAAATGCCAGCCTTCAGGAGCTGGGTAAGATTGACTAGTTCTTTGGCTACCTGCATACATGCATGGCACACACACATATACCTTCAGGTTTGTGGCAGCCTGCCCTGATCTCTGCTAACTGGTCAGTGTCATTCCCAGTTCCTCTCAGTCTGGAGTGCTTTGCAGGCTTTGTGCAGGGAGCTGAGGTTGCAGCCCTGTGGCCTTTGGAGAGTGGGAACTGTAATTGGAATCTCTGGAACCAAACCTGCAGGTGAAGATTGTGTGCTTGGAGCAGGACAGTTCTTAGTGGAGGAGGGAATGGATTCGTTCCCATTTATGGACGCTGTTGGCATGCCTCATGCCAGATTCTTGAGGCTTACTCCACACTTGCTTTGTCCTCATTAAGGAATTTTGCCAGAATTTCCTTCAGGAAAACATGGCTCTTGGTGCCAGTTCTTTCTCATCCACAGACTGTGGTTGTGGAAGGAAGGCTCCTGAAATGAAAACATGAGGGGCAGATTTCTGTACCTTTTGAACTGTAATGGCTTCCTGCACTTTTTGCACTCAAGATTCATCCTTGCCTACCCTGCTTTGTCTGTCATTTTTCCTCCCTCTCATTCATCTTGAAAAGGGAGACAGTATTCACCTGTGTTTGTTCTGAGATTATCTGGGATTAGTTAGCCATGCTTGTAGATGTGTAAGGAGCATGGTTTCTCTTGAGCCCTGTGTTTTTCAGCAGATGTGCGACTACCAGGGTGAAAGTTTGCTTTCTGTATAGATTTACGTTGGAATAATATCGGGCTTCTGGGTGGCCGAGCTTTGCTGAACTGCCTGCACAGCAACAAGACCCTGAAGAGGCTGGAGCTGGCTGGGAACAACGTTCCTAGTGACATCCTGAAAGCTGTAGGTAAGTATTACTTGTTGCACAGGAAAGAATCAGTAACTCTTTTCCTATTTCAGAACTTGAGGGGTATAGGGCACTTGCTGGTCCAGAAGAGAGCTATCTCTTTTCCCCTGCTTTTCTCAACAGCATCTACACGGTGCCCTACATTGCTTTCTCTTGTCCTTTAATGAGGGCTGGTCAGGTTGGAGGTGTCACTTTTACCAGGAAGAGGGGAAAAAAAAAAAAATTTGGATTGAATTAGAGATTACTGTACCATGTGAATGTGGGAGAACTTGGGGCTCTAGTTTGCCTCTGAGTAGCCAAGTTTGGATATGGCTAATGCAGCGTGTTCTTTGTCATTGTCCTACTCACAGTGGAGTTGAATGGCTCTCCTGTGGCTGAGGTGTTGATTACCCCATATACACTGCTCTCTTCAATTCTGCCTCACCTCGTGTCTGTAAGGTGAAAACAGTCTCTCTGTGTGGGCCAGCCTGAGAAGGGCTACTGTCCTGGTGCTCTGATAGCCAGGTGTCATCCTGAGTGCTATCTCTTCCAGCAGTGCTTGCTATTCTGTTGCTTTAGAAACATGTGCATGCTCTTCCGCTCTCTCTGTATCAGAACAAGCCATGGATCACAACCAAGACCGTCAGACTATCCTAAGTGAGACCCAGAACCGAGCGTACATACTCAGCAAGGAGGTTTTGAGTCTGAAAGATGAGAAGACCAAGCAGGTCAGCAATTTTACGTGTTGGCCTTTCAAATGGGGCAGGTGGAATCCTATGCTTTCCCTTGGTGTCCCCATGAAACACTCAGTGACAGGATTATTTTGCATCTGAAGTTTCATGTGCATCTTTATGGGTGGGCACACAGCATGGTTTAGTAAGTTGAGTCCTTCCTCTGAGCTAGGTTGCCCAGGAATCAAATCCGTGACAGTATGGGTATGGGACATGTGCCCTGCTGACTCTGGATTCTGGAGGAGTTTTGGTGACTTTTTCACCCATATTTGTGCTTTTGGTTCTTCTTTTGCAACTGGTTTGATATTTTCCAAGTGGTAAAACCCTAGAAATATGAGTCTGTTTTCCTTCTGACATCTAATGGTGCAGAGTCCCTGTAGCTGATGGCCTCAGTCAGATGTGCTGATGAACCTGTGAAACCTCCGGTTTGCTTGCTTTCAATAGAGTCCTGTCTTCAGCTGTCACTAGGAAGAGAAAGATGAGAAATGTAAATGCTTCAGGCTGATGCAGTTCATTTTCTCACTAATGTTTGCTTTGTTGACAGTTCTTGGATTTGATGGACACTATAGACAAGCAGAGAGAAGAAATAGCCAGGAATGGCAGGTGAGTTTAATTTCTGAGTGCTTTCTGCTCTTTGATAGCAGAATTGGGTCCTCTCCATTTCCTGGGAGTAATTACCCCCCCCCCTTTTTTTTTTTTTTTTCCTTCCTCCCCCCCAAATACAGGATGTCTGCAGCACGAGTCAGCCAGCTGCAGGAGGCGTTGGATGAGCAGCACTCTATTATGAATTCACTGAAAGCCAAGTATGAAGGAGGAAAACCTTAGCCTTCCCACTGTTCTGTGCTGTACAGGCAGTGCTGAGCAGAGCTGTTAAGAA